CGTGAAGGTCTCCCACAGTGTCACACCAAATGCCCACACGTCACTGGCCGTCGTGAACTTGCCCTGGCCAGAGGGAGCAGAGCAAGGTTGGGCACAGGCACTACCCCATCCTACTCCATAATCCCTACATGCCAAACTTTTTTCTGGATATTTCATCTTCCAGATCTGAGCCCAGAGGGGGGTCAGTCCCACAGCCCTGCTCTCTGCCCAGGGCCAGAGCCTGGTGAGCTCCAGGTCCAGCTTGCAGTGACTGCTCTGAGAGCAGCTCCCTGCAAAGATAAAAATTAACCCTGTTTCCTCTCCCAGGTCTGACCATGGCCAGGAGAGGTTGTCAAGCATCCTGCTCAAAGGCTGGGCACTGGGACACCAAAGATCACCACAGTCCCCCCCATCCTGCCTCAAAAAGCTGCTACCACTCCTGCTTTCTGCAATGCTTCACTCCAAAGCCAGGGTCCAGAGAGGAGAAACTTCGCTGTTCCTTCTGCACCCCCAGCCCAAGGACAGGAGGCTGTGAGCAGCCCCAGGACCACGTCAGTGTCCATCAGAGGACCCCAGGCCCTGCATACCAGCAGGATGCTCTCCCAGGACATCCAGCGGATGGGGAGCACCGCCCGCCCCTGGATGCGGTAGTAGTCCCCGCTGTAGAGATTCCTGCTCATGCCGAAGTCGGCAATCTTGATGGTGTACTGCTTCCCCACCAGGCAGTTCCGCGTGGCCAGGTCTCGGTGCACGAAGTTGAGGGAGGAGAGGTACTTCATGCCAGAGGCAATCTGGGTGGCCATGAACCGCAGGTCTCTGTAGCTGTCAGGGGGGACAAGGGAGGACTGAGCCTCTGGGCCAGGCGGCAGCAGGGGGGTACACAGCCTCGAGTACCCCACAGCCAGGCAGGGTGCCTGGAGCAGACAGCCCTGCCCACCCTGCCCGTCCCAGGCAGCGCGTGGGTGCGTGGGCGGTGGGGGGGCTGCCTGCCTCCTGGCGGGACAGGAACTGGTTGAGGTCCCCATTCTCCATGTACTCGGTGATCATGCACAGAGGGTCATCCGCGATGCACACCGCCAGCAGCCGGATGATGTTGGGGTCCTTCAGCCGTGACATGATCTTGATTTCCTTCAGAAAATCATTCCTTTCCGGAACAGAAACCACACGGATCGGATAGACAGACCCAGGCACCTCCGTGCCCTAGGTGTGCACAGACTGCCTGAGCGTGCCACCCACTCGCCTAAGCCTCGCAGGAACCCATGGGTCCCCTCCCCTGGGAAGGGGGGCTGTGAGGGAGAGCTCAGGGCTGATCCATGCACAGCTGTGGGGTGGACTCAGCTGGTAGATGGGGTGCTGGGGTGCTGGTTAGGACCAGCAAGGACCAAGAGTCCTGAATTGCAGCAGCTCAGCATCTCCAGATGGCTCGGACACATGTGGTCCTCACAGCTGCACCAAGCACCTGGCTGCCAGAGGCAGGGGATGGTCTCCAAGCATCCCAGCTCTCCTGGGGGGACTCTGTGTGGGGGGTGTGATGCTGGGGGGTGTGCACCCCTGGCCCCATACCTGGCATTCTTGTTGGCATCTGCTCTCAGCATCTTCACAGCCACCAGTACCGGGTGGTTGGAGCTGGTGTCCAAGCCCTCCAGGGCAAAGTCCTTGCCCATGAACTTCTCCATCCCCTCCACTTCACAGAGGTGAACCTGGCAGCGGGGCAATGGGCAGCTCTTACCTACATCCTCCTCTGGCCCCCGCAAACCAGGAAGAGCCTTGCCTGAGCCCTGCTCGGAGCAGGTTCAGCTCCCACTCACCTCTCCAAACTGTCCTTCCCCCAGCTTCTCCTTGAAGGTCAGCAGCTTCCTGGGGAACTCCTCAACAGCCACGTCCTTGCCAGAGAGCAGGTCCATGGTGAGGGCTGGCACCGAGTAGGTGTTCCCACCCGTCACACCCTGCAGGTTCACGATGTCGGCCTCGGCGTAGTGGGGAACACCCTCAGGGACGGTGACTTGGGACGGCTTCATGGGGCCGCTGCAGCCTGAGGCGGAGACAGTGGGGTCAGCCCGGCCATGGGTGTCCTACCCTGCACCCTCTGCTCCCCAGTGCCTCCTTGCCCTCCAGCCACCAGTTTCCCCATCCCCATCCTCCCCAGAGCCCCCGTGCTGCTCCAGCATGGCTGGGGTCCCGCCGACACCACACCCCAAGCACTCGATGAGCAGGGATCAGTGCCTGACCTCCAGATCACTAAGGAAGATATGCTGGAGCATCCCAAGGATGGTGGTGGGGACACAGCTCGGCCTGGTGTGGACACCAGTGGTGGCTCTTGGTCACAGGCTTTGTGTGGCCTCGGAGGGGGATGTGGAGGAGCTGTGCAACATCCCCC